ATCCCTGTTAAAAAGCAAGCCTATCATTCTTACAAAAGTGCACTAGACTCATGTTTGTAAAGAATCTGCATAAGATCAGACAAGCACTGGCAGGTATCTCTGAGGATGTCAGAATGCAGCTCTACCATGTTTCCTGGGGATTGAGGCACTTGCAGCAACCGAAAGAGGAACTGAACAGACAAATGGTTGGTGAAGCATGCCAGATCACATCCATTGCGAGAATGATGTCAGGATAAGAAGGAAAGCACAAGCTTAAAAGTACAGCAGCTCCTTGCTTCATATTTCAGACTTCAGATTGCCTCAGTTATAGGCTGGAGATGAGGCAGAAAATAGATTGGACAAGGCATGCCCATACTGTGGTTAAGGGCAAGTATGGAAGGAAACACTCAATCTTGGTTTCTTACATTCACATGTCTTATTTCTTAGGAATCCAAAATAACACACCTTGCCCTTCAGTTTTATGTTAGCCATTTTCACATCAATCCTGTGAGATAGGTGAGGCTGAACTAAAGTGAGTGTCTCGAATCCCCCACAATGCTTTATGGCTCAGGGGGGGCTCTGTTTAATAGTTCAACCAGTATGTCATGTTTTCCTGTCCTTCCCTGCCTGATAAATGGAAAATGCTAATGGACATCTAGTACTTCAGTGATTCATCCTGCTTCCCTGTCTGGGATATGTCAAGTCAGAAAATGTACCCATTGTTTTAGGTCTGTTCTTCATTTATTTTCTGCTGTTTCAAGGCTTTTTTTCTGGGGTAAAGGAGGATGAATCAATCCAGTGGGAACATCATCCAGAAATGGTCAAAAACAAAGCTGCTGCTGGACTTTCTTTCTAGATTTTAGCAAGTTCTAAGTGGGATCTAACACCAACTTTTGAAGGCCATTTAAAAAAAAGCATGATTGATTTAAGAGGCCTTGATTGCACAATTAAGGAATAAATGTCCTTAAACTGATGATCATCTATTGGGATGTCTAGATAATAATCATGGATCATGAGGTGAAGAGCAGAATTCTGTCCATGCTTAGAACTGAGTTCCACTGACTGATTGCCAGGAAAATGGATGCAGGATTGCAAACTGAAACTTAATTTGCTAGTGGGTCTGTAAGATACCTCAGATCGAAGTTCATTAGGATGCACAGGATTGCAGACTAGGCTGTTCTGAAGGGACATTAGAGCAAATTCATCCCACATTGGTACTTGAGGAAGTGGATGGAAGAGCAGAAACAGGAGTCCCAAAGCTGCTTTTTCAAGAGGCAACTGGACTTCCTGGTTTTTCTTTGAAGGCATTTCGCTTCTCATCCAAGAAGCTTCTTCAGCTCTGAAGCGGAAGAAAGTCCAGTTGCCTCTTGAAAAAGCACCTTTGGGACAATCCTGATCTGGATGACTGAGAATCTCCATAGACATTTAGAAACAGGAATCTTCACCGAGCATGGATTAAAAAAAGAGGTGACTGCAACAGTCTGAACAAAGTTGATAAGTAATACATATTTTTTAAAAAAACAGGCAAAGTTTCATTCACGCACTTTTCCCCCATTTTTTGCTGACATCCTTAAGTAAAGGTATGCAAAGTGGAGGAGAAAGTTATACACAGAATTGATGTGTTTCAGAAATTATGTATGTATGTATGTATGTATGTATGTATGTATGTATGTATGTATGTATATAAAATTTGTTTGCCGCCCATTCAAGGACTCTGGGTGTACAACATACACAAATAATACAACATATTATTTTCCAAGGTGCAGCCTTTCCTATACCTTTATGACCTGCGAGACAACCCCAGACCAGTGTTTTAAACACCCATATTCTAGACTTCAGAATCCCAGAGAAAGAAACGAGAGGAGAAAAGGTGGCGTAATGGAATGGTGAGCCACTAACGGTGGAGGTGCCGCACATGGGTGAGAAGAAGAAGGAACAGAAGGTGGGCAGCTGGTAGGAATGCCCGGCCTTCGCCCGGCCCCAGAGAGATCGAGTTGCGCCGGCAAGAAGGGAAAGCGCAGATCTTGTGTGCGAGTGCTGACAGCGTGGCGCTGCTTTCAAGAAAATGAAGGCGAGACGCCTATTGGAGAAGAAGGCAGGGAAAAGGAGGCGTGGCGAAGCGGGATTGCCAGCTCCTTATCCAGGCCTGTCCTAGGCGCTCCTGGATTTTAAGCTCCCTCTTCCCCGCGATGTTCACGAAGCAGCCATTTCCTCCATCTGTTTGTCCTTCGCCCTTGTCCCTTAGTAGTAAAATTAGTCCATTTTGCCTTTGGGAAACGGTCCTGTTGATTGAAGTGGCTTCGGAGTCAGTCACATTTAAGGTTGTGTCCAAGTCCCTCGGTTAAAGACGGTCAGTGGAAAAGGCGTGGCACACAAAACGCCATTTTTGGTTTCGCAACCCGCCTTCTCTCTACAAGGGGCGAAGAAACGAGGCCACGTGAAGGGGCCCGATGTCCCACAAGGGCGCCTGACTGATCTGGTTGTGGCTATCGCAAGATGGGGCCAGTTTTGTTTGTGAATTATTCAGGACATAGGGGGCAGATAGAGAAGGGAACGGGTAAGAAAAATAAAGGGTCGTCCTTCTTTTTAATTGATTGACAAGTCCCTGCAGTTTTCCCTGTTCTGCCATTACCTATTTTCTCGAATTCAGGGAGAGTGACCAAGATCACCTAACTGGCTTTCTGCCTAAAGCTGGACTGGAACTCACCGTCTCCTGGTTTCTAGCCTAGTGTGGTGTCTTATCACTACACCAAAGTACTCTCTCTTTCGTTGTATTGGGTAGGGTGGAGTTGAGGGGAACTTGCTATCCTGGTGAGTCAAAAGGTCTCCCCAATCCTCCACCCCACCGGCCAGGCAAAGGTCTGTCTGGATTTCGTTCCTGGAAGATGGAATAGTTTTAAAGATCTTGGCCAGGTTTTTGCACTACATATATACAGATTGAAAACACTTGTAAAAAAAAAAAGTAGTCTTTTTATGTCTTGCTCCACCGTAACTCATGTGAAATAACCGATTTGATTCACGGAAAGAGGTCAAGACCAAAAACCATTGACCATTTTAGGGGGTTCCAAAGCCACGAAGTTTGATAACCATAGCACCAAAGGTGGGGGGGGGGTCACCGTGGAGTCTTACGTGGCGCTAGGCAAAGACCAAACAAATGCTAATTCGGTAGGGTTCGCACAACACAAGGACCCCGCTGAAAGGAGGTTGGGCTGAACTGTGGGAACGGAGCCAAAGGTTTTGTTGAGATGTGACCCTCTTCTGCTGGCAGCTCACAAAGGAAACTAAAAAATAAATAATAAGTGTGTGTGAGTGAGGGAGAGAGAGAGGGCACGATCGTATAGGAAAGACTATCCCACTTATGTGTCGCGGGGCTGGCTGGGTGGGTTAGAGCCTAAGAATTATTTTTCTTGGATCCGAGAGAACCGCATTAGAATCTAAGGCAAAACCAATGGAATCAGGGTTGCTACTTAAGGAAAGCGCCGGGCAGCTCTTCGAAGTTTTAGAAACAAGGAGTCAGCAATGCATTTATCGGGCTGGATGGCTTACCAAGCCCATCCTGGCTGGCGTTGTCTGGGTATAAAAACTGAACAAGGTGGGACTAACGACGGTAGAATCTCAGGTGTGGGTCCCACTAGGAAGTCACTAGATATCCCCAGAAGAAAGTAACGACACTCGGCCTCCTCCTTAACTACCCGCGAACTCCCCAGGAGCTTCACTCAGCGGAGAAGTGTCGTCCGTCCCCCGTCCCCCCCCCCCCGAATAAAGTTCTGTCAAGTAACGGGACAAGAGGAATATTTTTAAAAGTGCCTTTTCTTATTGTTAGCATCTTATTGTTTATTGCTCCGCCGTCACTAATCCACGAAAGTATTATTAGCCTCTGGGAGGTCGATTTCCCCCGAGTTTGAACGCGAAAGCTGGGGATTTGTCACGGTTAGACTTTCTTCGAGTCTAAACGGAAGACTTTGCTGCGGACCAGTGGTGCTTGCAGGGTCTTCGGGTCGCCACGGCTTGTTTGTTACAGTTTCGGCCATCCTAATTTTGGGAGGCCCAAGGATTTGGTGCGAGATAAGCGGGCAAGGAAAGACTTTGGGGCTCAAATGGCCAAGTCGCTGTGTTTCGATTCTTTGAAATATTAATTAATTCTAGTCTTTGGAGGGAGGGAAATCACTCTTCGATCCTGGGTTTATTGAGCAAACGATACCGTAATAGTGCAATAAACCGCTTCAATTTCAAAGTAGCGGTTTGGATGGGACTACCTGCTCTTTTGTAGACTGAGGTGGTGGAAGGATTGCAGTTTAACAGGATGACACTCGTCGGAAACGCTATTTTCCTAAGCCCATACACGGAAAGGACGACAATCCCCGTGGCTATCGCTGTCTGTAGACGATGGAAGTTCTCTGTTCTATCATTCCGGTTCCGCTAATTTAAGAAACACTCTTATAAATTACGACGACCAGGAGACCTGTGACACCTGGAAGACGAAAGCGTTTATTAGTGCATCGGTTGCAGAGGATTCCGGGTCTCATCAGATATTCGGGCGACTCCTGAGAGAGGAATACCACAAAGATACGCTGAGTAGTACTGGTGTGTTTATATTGGGCGGGGAGGGGGAAGGGGTGATGCAAAAAAAAAAAAGAGAGGGAGGGAGAGAGAGAGAGAGAGAGAGAGAGAGAGAGAGAGAGAGAGAGAGAGAGAAATGATCAGAGGATTGATGCTACACAACTTTTCTGTTTTTTGAGCCCTAAAATACAGTCCCTAGAAAAATGCTGATAGCATTCTCGCGATTCCCTTCCCTGCCAGTCCAACCCTTGATGTTTAGGATCCATCAAAGGCAGAGAACAACCTCGGGCTCTGTCTCCGTTTCTCCCTCTCCCTCCCTCCCTCTTTCCCTCCCTCTCTCTCTCCGTTTCTCTCCCTCTCTCTTTCCCTCCCTCCCTCTTTCCCTCTCTCCCTCCCTCTCTCTCTCCGTTTCTCTCTCCCTCTCCCTCCCTCCCTCTTTCTCACGCGTTTTGTCTCAACAGGACTCGGGGAGGCCTGGGGCCACTCAAGTCGAACCAGCACTCTGGACAACGTCGGTCGAGAGTTGGGGTCCCACCTGCTTCAGGTAGGAATACGCGGGGGGGGGGGCGGGCAGCTCTTTCCTACCAGGCTTCAGGACAAGGCCTGAAGGACAGACTTTTAGCACCGAAGGAGCAGTGACTTGAGCTGGAGGCTTTCATAAACTTAGACAAGCAGGGTCAGTTCGGCCCGGTAATGTTTCAGGTGGCCTCGTGTAAAAAGGGAAAGTTGCAATACATTTCTAAGCATCTTGGCTTCAACTCCCATCATTCCCTACCACTGTGGCTTTTCTGAACCCTGAAACCCAATCCATCTGGAGAGCATCCGGTGACAAAACGGCTCCGGCTCGACGGAGCTCCTATCGTGTAAATTTTTTTTATGCGTTTTATAAAACGTGCTTACGTTCCAACACCATCAGGGCCTCAGAAGAAATATATAGGGATTTCAGAAACTCCCTAGAAATGAAAGATTCATAGACCAAGGGTTAGTTATTAACATGGGTGCATGAAGGATATAATGCCCAAAGGCATTTTTTTTTGTATTGTCTGATTTTGTATTGTCTGAATCTTAGATAGAAAGGTGGAATATACATTTAATTGTTAAAAGAGGGGAAAAACCCACCTTACTCCCATGAACCTTGTTTACCGTCAGTTTGTTGCGTTCCATATATTTTGGACTCTACTCTCGATCATTCCCACACATGATGATGCTGGGGTAGGGAATGATGGAATGATGGTCCATTGAGACAGAAGGAGAGCCAGGCTTCTAAAGACTAAAGCGTAACATTGCAGCCCTTTGCCTCGGAAGTTGAGGGCTATAGTTGCCGTTTAGGTGATTAGGATTTGGCTTGGCAAGGACACTTGCGCTATCCTAGAACCAACCCTTTCCTGAGCCTCTTCTTTGGACGTCCTTCGTTTTGTATGCCACCTAACCATCCTTGCTCTAAAGCAAGTCTCATTTTTGTTTATGCGGATTGCTACATTTTTTTCTTGCTGGCTCGCTCGCTCTCCAGGTTCAGTCGTGTCCGATTCTCAGAGACCTCCGGGAAAGGTCTTCTTGGCAAGGTTTTCAGAAGTGCTTTGCCCTTGCCCCCTTCCTAGGGCTGAGATGAAGTGATTAACTCAAGGTTACCCAGCTGGCTTTGTGCCTTAGGCGGGACTAGAACTCACAGTCTCCCGGTCTCTAAACTAATGACTTTAACCACTCCAAAGTCCTTCCAGGTTTGCAATTTTTAGCGCCATCCAGCCACTGCTGGGGCAAGAAGACATGAGGAATATAGAAAGAAAGAAAAAAAAAAAGGAAGCCCAGTTGCCTCTTGAAAAAGCAGCTTTGGGATAGACAGATTTTAGACGTCCACACATATTGGGGAGGGAAGGGCGGCGGCGGTGGTAAAGACTGAAATCGCCAGACAAGAAATGGTCAAAAGTGGAGCCTGCAGTTTTCCACTTCTTGTTAACAAAGCCAGGAGTAGGACTTTACCCGGTCGGAGAAACTTGATCGCTCTTTGCTCTCTCTTTCTTACAGACTTTGGATGGTTTCATTTTTGTGGTAGCTCCTGATGGCAAGATCATGTATATCTCGGAGACCGCCTCGGTGCACTTGGGTTTATCGCAGGTACGTTAATGATCCCAATGGAATCGACCTCAACAGAGGCCACCAATTTTTTTTTTTTTTTTGCAGCGTTCAAAGTTAGGTTAAACAGGGTTTTGGAGTCCATCCTCTTTTTTTTTCCTTTTAAATGCTCCCTCTTCAACAGGTCAAATCAATCTGAAATCCAAAGTGCAGATCCCTGGGAGAGACCCCTATTAAAAACAAGGCCACTCGTATTCTAAAGAGACAAAATAATTTCTGTCCACTCCTTTAGTTCAGTGGACCTGATTTCTAAAAGCCTTTTCTAGAACGCTGCATTTTTGTGAATGCCTTGAATCCATCTGGTTCCAAATAAAGAACCTGTTTTCAAATCCGCTTGAAGGCGAGACTCCAGTGGAGTGAGGCCGTCAAGGTTGACTTCAGGTCTTCTCACAGTGACCAGAAGGGCACCAAGAGCAATAGGGATAAGCTGACATTTGGGGGAACCTCTATGGAATAAAGCAGGCGGTGATCGAAATTATTATGCCTCAATTTCCAACTTTAATCTCTTTCACAGTGCTGCCCTAACAGTCTGCTCCAATCTGGAAGCTGCCTTGGAGTCAATGGTAGTTATTCCAGGAGATATAGAGAATTGAAACCTCAGGCTGCATTCCATTCCGCTCATTGGGATTTGCTGGTTTTGATTAAACATCCTTAAACTGCAGCCTCAAGAGTGGTGCTATTCTGGCCAGGCTGCCTTCTCATGTCCCACTGACTTGTAATGAAACTAGACTAAAACTCAGAGATCCTCTTGTTCCACCAGAATATCTCCATATAGAAAATCTGATGTGGGAACAGTCTTTTGGCCCAACCTTATCTTAACCTGCTTGCCTTAGGTGAAAGGGCACTCCCCCCCCCCCTAAACTCCCAGGAAGCAGAGGAATGTCAAGATTAGCCATTTAATTTAATGGCTTACCCTGGGATACATTCCCATTTAAGGTTCCATCCAAAACCTTCAGCCTAGGGCAGCCTTCTGTAGCCTCTGACTCTTCACAACGAGGGATCCTTCATGCTACCATCCCTCCAAACAAGATGAGGATCATGGCCTGGAGGGCCAGAAGTTGTTGAATGTTGGTTAGCTTGCTCGGCAGGCAGGGCAAGCAAAAGCCTAATGGCCAGTCACTGTATTCACACACACCACTGATTCACAAGACCTGGGTTCACAGAGGTAGTCCTCTACATACAACTACAATTGAGGCCAACATTTATGTTGTTAAGTGAATTTTGCCCCATTTAACGATCTTTCTTGTCACAGTTGTTAAGTGAATCACTGCAAGTGTTAAATTAATGACACAGTTGTTAAGTGAATCTGGCTTCCCCATTGACTTTACTCGTCGCCTTTGCTTGCAAAGGGTGATCAAGCGACTGAGGACACTGCAACCGTCATAAATATGAGTCAGTTGCCAAGCATCTGGATTTTGACCGTGGGGATGCTGAAATGGCCCCTAAGTGTGGAAAACAGTCATGTCACTTTTTTCAGCGCCCTTGTAACTTCGAATGGTCACTACATGACCTGTTGTAAATCGAGGACTACCTGTAGAGTTAAAATCCTAACCAGAGCATGTGTGAATCCAGGGTTTGAGTGAATGGAACCCATTGTGCCATTGATTGCGTGGATCTGGGTGCTTCCCGGTCCTAAGCCTCTTCTCCCAGCCTCGGACCCGGGTGGCTAAACTGGTCCGAACTGGCAGCCTTGCCGCAACACGCGGCAGCGCTCTTCTCCCCGCGCTCCGCTTCCCTTCTTTCAGGTAGAGCTGACCGGCAACAGCATTTACGAATACATCCACCCGGCCGATCACGACGAGATGACCGCCGTCCTCACCGCTCATCAGCCCTACCATTCCCACTTCGTGCAGGGTAAGACGCTCCGGGAAGGCGAGTGGGCGGGGCGGGGAAGGGTAAGGCGGCGATGCGGGGGGGGGGGAGAGAGGAGAGAGAGAGAGAGCAGCCTCCTCCCCTGACATGCGCATTGTGCTCCTTTGCCTCGCAGAGTACGAGATCGAGCGCTCCTTTTTCCTCCGGATGAAATGCGTCTTGGCCAAGAGGAACGCGGGCCTCACCTGTGGAGGCTACAAGGTAGGTAGTGGCGCGAGCGCCAACTGGTGGCCGAGCTGAGAACTGCTGGAGTCCCGGCTGGCTGAAGGTGAAAATTTAAAGGCGCCTTCAAAAACTCCAAATGTGCTCTTTCAGCTTGGTGGTTTTCTTGCAGACGTTTCATTACTCAAAACTAGATAACATCAACAGTGCTATCCCAAAGGTGCTTTTTCAAGAGGCAACTAGACTTTCTGGTTCTTTCTTTGAAGACGTTTGGCTTCTCATCCAAGAAGCTTCTTCAGCTCTGACTTGAAGAAGCTTCTTGGATGAGAAACGAAACGTCTTCAAAGAAAAACCAGAAAGTCCAGTTGCCTCTTGAAAAAGCACCTTTTGGACAGCCATGACCTGGATGATGAGAACCTCCATAAACATCGTCAGTGCTAGTATGCTACTAACTCTAAGTATCCCCAGCTTGCCCAACTTGGTGCTCTCCATTAGCTATGAAACAGCAAATCCCCGCCATTGGAATCTGGCAGCTCTGAAAGTTGCAATCCCAGCCTATCTGGGAAGAGTCGGATTGGAGTGGTTTTCCTTTGATGTCTTCTTTTTTTTTAAAAAAAATTTGATTTATATGCTGCCCTTCTCCAGAGACTCAGGGCGGCTTACAATGTGTTAAGCAATAGCCTTCATACTTTTGTATATTTATACAAAGTCAGCTTATTGCCCCCACAAACTGGGTCCTCAATTTACCTACCTTAGAAAGGATGGAAGGCTGAGTCAATCTTGAGCTGGGGAGATTCGAACTTACAGTAATTGCAGGCAGCTGAATGTTAATAACAGGCTATTAGTCTGCTGCACCACCAGGCTCTTTTTTGAAGTTGAAGTCTTGAAGTCTTGAAGTTGAAGTCTTGAAGTCTTGAAGTTCAATCAATCAGAATAGAGTTGAAAGGAACCTTGGAGATTTTCTAGTCCAACCCCCTGCTCAAGCAGGAGACCCTATACCCATAAAGGCAAACCTATGGCACGCGTGCCAGAGGAGGCACACAGAGCCCTCTCTGCTGGCGCACGCGCCATCATCCCAGGTCAGATCGCCGTGGCGTTTCTTTAGTGAACTTCTGTTTCCCTGCAAACGACGAAACAGAAGCTCACGAAAGAAAAAGATCTTACCTCTTGCCACTCTGCCAGTGTTGGGATGCCCCACCTCCTGCCGGCCAGCTGGTCTTCAGGTCTCTGCTGCGCATGCACACATATCCATGCATGTGCACGCACATGTCCATGCATGTGCATGTGTGCGCATACACACACACATGCCAGCACATGTGCGCATTCATGCATGCGCGCACACCTTTCAGTTTGGGCATGTGCGCACACGCAGTTTGGGCACTTGGTGTCTTAAAGGTTCACCATCATTGCCCTATACCATTTCAGACAAGTGGCTGTCCAGTCTCCTCTTAAAAACCTTCAGTGATGAAGCACTCACAACTTCTGAAGGCAAGCTGTTCCATTGGTTAATAGTTCTCACTGTTAGGAAGTTTCTCCTGAATTCCAAGTTGCTTCTCTCCTTGATTAGTTTCCATCCATTGTTTCTTGTCTTGCCTTCTGGTGCTTTGGAAAATAAGTTGTTGGTCCGGGTAATGGCTACATTCTTGTCTTGCAGATAGGAGGTTTTTCCTCCGAAACTTCATGCTAATTAAAATAAAGATGTTGCCCACACATATTTAGGAGGAAGCACCACACTATGAAATTGATAGCTGAGTAAACAGGCATAAGATTAGTTTGTAAAGCAGCAATGCTCTGCATACTTGGGAGTAAGCCCCCTGAAATCCACTTAAGCCCCTGTGATTTCATTCAGCTTAAATTTAGGGAAATCTATACATCCCCAGCACAGAGAAAACAAGTTTGCCTTCTTCATTACAGTTATGGAGAAACCCTCAATGCACTGAATGGCTGTAGGCCTGAACGCTAAAAATCACTGGAAGTGCACTCCAATTCCCAGGATCCTTATTTGGTAGGGAGATCCTCAAGAATTCACGTTCAGAAAGTGTCCGTTAATTTTAAAGGCTGAATATTGTGTTGTCGATGGAAATTTTTTTCAGCGGAGACTGAAAATTAGAATTTTATTTAAGGCTACAACCTATGTGGTCAATAATTTTACACTACTTGGCAGAACTGTCTGAGCAGAGGCATAGAGGGTTGAGGGCTGAGTTTTAAAAGCACCCCCGAATAGGTTTTTGTCTAAGCTTCATTAATTGCAGGACATTCATATCTGAAAGAAAGCCTATAAAATAATTATTTCCAAGGGAAAAAAAGATAGGGCTTGAAGGAGCCTTAGTGTATTTACTTGTTGAATGAAAATAACTGAATTGTCTAAGGAAGTCTATAGTATTTCTTGGGATTGGTTCTGTGCAATCTTGTTTTGGAGGTTTTTATTTATGTAACCTGGATCTCTCCTCTTGTTCCATATTGTACCTCCAGCCATTAATGCAGCCTGTCTCAAAACCCATGCAGTCTACTGAGCTGTTACAAAGCTGTAATCCTTTTGAATTTTTGCATATTATAATGCTTTTCTCCACTAATAGGAAAGATTCCCTCCAGACAGGTTACATTTACTGTAGCTCCTAAGGCTATATTCACATTTTCTTAAAAGCTGCTATGTTCACATTAGAGATTTACAGCAACTTATGGACCATTCCTTCATTAGAAATTAATAGCAAATTATAGCACACACCGAACATCACTGTGCTGATCTAAGGAAGGAAAAGAAGGAAAGCAGGTTTTATATCACCAGAATAATGGCTGAGTAATGTTAGAAGAGCTATAAATTGCTGCTGAGGAAATGCCCTATAAAATCATTAGCGCCATGAATTTCTATAATGATGGCTAGATGTCTCTGTTGCAAGCTGTGGTTTACAAAAAGGGAAATGGCTTAAGGTTGCAATTCTATATACAAATCCCATAGGATACTTGGATTTATTTCAAAATCAGCATGCATAGGGGTTTTGTGCTGAAAATATCACTAGAAGTAATAGTTTTATTCCATGCTTGAGGGTAAAATAATACTTGTCGAGGGCTCATTATTAGGACTGCTGAAACATTGGTGCATGCTATTTGATTGTTACTATATAGTTGAAAGCTGGCAGTGAATATAATTTAACTTCATTCAGGGTGCACCAAAGGTGATTCTTTGGAAATATAAATAAATGTGTGAAGAGACGAGCAATGAGAAGATACAAAATGGACCACAGGGTGCTCTCACTAAGAAGCATTGAAGTGTAGGGAGGAGAAATCATCCATGTTCCTTTTGGAATTCCCTCATTCAGACATGCATGTCATTCTAATGTGCCTATCATGTGGAAAACCTGGTTAACCATGTGATTGGGCCCTGATGCACCGTACTCTGCATAGTATTTGCATTGGCAAAAACCTGCAAGGGGGGCTTGCTGTTATGTAGATCAGAAGGATCGCTCACAGACCTGATGAGCGATCCTACTGAGATCACACTTTGTTATGTGAACCCTTATCACATTGACATGACTTTTTTTGTCTCTTTGCCCCTGACAGGTGATTCATTGCAGTGGTTATCTAAAGATCCGCCAATACAGCTTGGACATGTCCCCTTTTGATGGCTGCTACCAAAATGTTGGACTGGTGGCAGTGGGCCACTCCTTACCCCCCAGTGCTGTGACGGAGATTAAGCTGCACAGCAATATGTTTATGTTTCGGGCCAGCCTGGATATGAAGCTCATCTTCCTTGATTCACGGTAAGTCATCACTTGAACTTCCTTTAGACCAGGGGTGTCAAACTCGCAATCCATGGGCCAGATGTGTCATGTGCTGGCCACCTCAACCACCGTTCTAGCGAAGGGGGGAAAAGTTGCTAGACAACATGTGTCGACAACGTGACACTGCGAGTTTGATACCCCTGCTCTAGACCAACAATAGCCCAAATAAGATAAGGTGGCTGGTTGCCCTTGTCTTCTCTGAATCTTTTTGGGCTTCCATCTCACTCTAATAACACAGGTAGTCCTCAACGTATGGCCACAATTGAGCCCAAAATTTATGTTGCTAAGTGAGAAATTTGTTAAGTGAGCTTTGCCTCATTTTACAACTTTTCTCACCACATTTGTTAAGTGAATCACTGCAGTCCTTAAATTAGTAACACAGTTGTTAAGTGAATCTGATGTCTCCATTGACTTTGCTTGTCAGAAGGTTGGAAAAGGGGGATCATGTGACTCTGGGACACTGCAAACATCATAAATGTGAGTCATGAATGTAAATTATGTGAGCTGCAACGGTCATAAGTAGGAAAAATGGTCATCAGTCAGGTTTTTTTCAGTGCCGTTGTAACTTCACTAAACAAACTATTGTAAGTTGAGGACTACCTATACAGTAATAGGATTGGTTTGCTTTGATTTTGATCTAGTCTGTTGGTAAGCTGAAGCTTATTGAGGCTTATTAACAAACCATGATTAAAAATCTGGCTTGGCACGATGTGAGAAGCCAATCTCATTCTCTGTCTTTCTCTCTCTCCCTTTCTCTCTTTCTGGGTAGGGTAGCTGAGCTGACTGGTTATGAACCTCAGGACTTGATTGAGAAGACACTGTACCACCATGTCCATGGCTGTGACACTTTCCATTTGCGCTGCGCTCACCACCTGCGTAAGGAGCCTCTTCCCTTTGAGCCTTTGAAGCCCTCAGCTGAGCCCTGTTTACTCAGAAGTAAGTCACACTGAGTTCAGAGGGACTTACTCCCAAAGTAAAGTGGGCTGACTGGCTGGGACTTTTCCAAGCAGAAGAGCAATTGAACTCACCTTTGCTAGTAAGACAGTCTCAACACATAGTTGGAAAGAGATGGATAACAAAACCAAGCTATATTTTTCAACAGGTTGATGAAAAAAGGGAGAGGAAGGGATAGATAGATTGCAAAGGACAATATCTCCTATGGTTCTAGTCAGGCACACTTTGGGGAAGTTAGTAAGCCAAGATGGTGATTGTGGCCAGATGAGCAAAGTCCCACCCCTTTATCTGTCTCTTGATGTTACATGAGCATACAAAGAAGTGGGACTTTAAAAATCACCAGTTTTTAAAATTGTCTTCTTCAGTCGGTACGGCTGCTTTCAATATGTTACACAAGAGTGCATCCTCTTGTCATTTTCCCATCCATTGAGCACATGGCAGCAGAGGCTGGAGATGCAATCTTATAAAAGAATAGTATCAACTTTTAAAGATGTTTTATACAAGAAATGAATTTGTTGCCTAAAGGAGCATTGTTTGATCTACTAAGAATTGTGTTGTTGGGCTCACAACCACTAAATTCTTAATGTTACCTTTTCCACCCAGTATTTCTCTAGTACTGTACTATTACTAGCAGTAGATGCTATGATTTCCTTGCTTGCAGTGAACATTGGGATAATGACTTGTAATGACTTCTTAGAATCAATCCATTATTCTTGAAGTAATAGAAAGCCTATTGCCATGTCTGTTATTATGACACATACAGGTGACTCTAGAAGGTTATTTCACCACTAGGGAAATAACAATCACAACAATGACAAAAGCAGCAATCTAATGTTTTACTTGGGAATTAACCTCAGTGAATTCAATGAGACTCACTTCCAGCAATAGCAATAACACTTAGACTTACATACTGCTTCATAGTGCTTTACAGCCCTTCTAAGTGGTTTACAGAATCAGCATATTGCCCCCAACAATCTGTGTTCTTATTTTACTGACCTTGGAAAGCTAGAAGGCTGAGTCAATCTTGAGCCAGTCAGGATTGAGCTGCTGGCAGTCGGCAGAATTAACCTGCAATTCTGCATTCTCACCACTGCGCCACCATATAAACACTACGTATACAGTATGTATGTATGTATGTATGTATGTATGTATGTATGTATGTATGTATGTAAAACTGTAGGATAGACAGGACACCATGTGTGGATAGGGGAGACCATGAGTTCTACTCCCGCCTTAGTCATGAAAGCCAGCTGGGTGACTTTGGGCTGTCTCTCATCCCAAATTACCTCACAGAGTTGTTGTTATTGTGAGGCAAATAGGAAGAGAAAGGTGTGTTGTCTATGCTGGCAGGCTTGAGTTGTTTATACAATAATAATAAAGGTGGGATCTAAAGCAATCAATCAGTCAATACATAAATAGTGATAGTTAGAAACAAATTATTCTTCTGATTGCTACAGAAAGCTACTGAGGAATCATTCTCATATCCCCTAAATGTAACAAAGAAATGTAACAAAGAACCATTTTCATATACCATATATTTGTAACATTACCTTTGTCTACAGCTCAGAGTTGAGGCAGCTTAAAATCATATTTAGCTGTTCCAGTTTTGAAGTAGGGTTTCCCATATTTTGCCAACTGTTTTTTTTGCCATGCACATGATCTGGCAGACTTTAAATGACAATAGCTTGACAATGCTAATTATGTGGTGTATTATTTGAATTAGCAAGATGGGATGGGGGAGTTGCATAGCCATATATTTTACTGTTTTCATAACTGGCAATGGTGATGAAGGATCAGTAGCATTGTTTTCGCTTACTTAGTTGGCAAGTAAAAAAATGGAGCTTGCTTGCTATTAGTTGCTCCTTACCCTTCATCATCTACCCCTCCTCTACATCTATAACCCATCAGCAGGGTTCGATTTTGTAGTTTTTTGTTTTATTTTTGATATTCAAAAGAATGCCGGACTGTGTCCCCAAACAGTCCAATAGGCAGGTTTCTAGATGAGGAATACCTAGTAAGCTGCTAGTTGGGCAACATGCAATGTGACTTCACCCAATTTTCTCTCCCTCCACCCTCCCAACACACACACATTAAAGAAAGCCATTTTTGATTGTTTATCCCATTGGTAGGTGATGCTTGGTGGGTAAGAAAATCTGCAGTTCCAATTCATCTTTAGAAAATGCCAGTTTGAGAAAGCTTATGACGTTTTATAAATATTCATGGTGACTTTTACGACAGAGGGAGGGAGGGAGGGAGGGAGGGAGGGAGTGGGAGAGAGAGAGAGAGAATGTTTCCAAGAGGATTTGTTAACATGTTTCCCCAAAGAATCTGAGACCTATTAAGAAAATGGAATAACCAGCTCCACTTCTTAGAAGGTTTATTTTCATCAAGCAATAAACACGCATGTTCCCCTGCCTCTGATTTTGCTCTGTTCTATGATGTGCATGAGAATAGTGCATGAGACTGATTGAAAGTGGCCTCTATGGAGTAACATCTCAATTCTAAAAGAGCTATTACAGTGACATTCTTTGCTGATCCAGAACAGTTCAAATCAAGGGAGGTTTGGGATTTTGGTCATTCTTATTTTCTTACAACTCACTCTGATGACTAAAATCTATTTTATAACTATATGCACAATGGAATAATACCATTGATTTTACCTTAACCTCCTGGTAAACGAGTCTAGGATAGCTTTTCAGGTTAGGTTAGGATATACTTTCCCAAAGAAAGTTGTTTCACTGCTTTCCATAATTTGCCATTCCCCTTCTTGAGTTCTGTGTCTTTTGTCTTCTGCCATACTGTAAGTGGAAAAGCAGATAAAACCTCTTCTAATGTTTCAGCTCCACATGTAGGAAAAGTGATCCCATGAGAGCTAAGATACCATCTAGAATTAACAAGCAGGTTTAAAGTCTGAAGCCTTTTTTTTTTTACTTTATGCATATGTGATACCTTTAATTTTTAAAGTCCTATGTATAATACATACACCTCAACCATCTTTTAAGTATACACGATTCAGAATGACTTGAAAAATGCTCTTATTTTAATCCTTTCAAATCTCTTACAAAAACCAGGTTCATTTCAATGCTTTATTTTATAAGTAAAATTGAGACCAGGAAAGAATTTATATTACACATTTAATGCCCTGTAAAATAGAGAATTATGCTGGCCATTTACTGAAGAGAATGGATCATCTGCTTACAGAAATTATTGCATTGAAGTTCCACTTTAAAGAAAATCAAGTACTGTCCAGGACCATTTAGTACTGTAGACACTAGAAAATCTGAAGCCATTATATTGATTAACAAAAAGTATTTGCAAAAATAGCTCTTTGAGTACTTAAATTACCTGCCGCTTCTATTACTGTCATTAAATAATTGCATTCTGAAACATCATTTTGTAACTGATGAATAATTATCTGGTCAGGTGCTGCAATTTTATAGCCAATTTTACATAACTAAAATCCCTCAACCTGCTGGGATTTACCTCTGATACATAGAAACGTAGACATCTGATACATACTTCTGAGACATAGATTACTACCATAGGTAGTCTTCTACATACTAGTTTCTTCAATCCAGATGTATTGGATTACAACTCCCAATAAATTGGTAAGCACCAAGTTGAGGAGCGGCAGGCACCCTGTAAATATGAGATTGAGTCTCATTTAACTCACTGCAGTTTACTTCTTAGCAGTCATGTGTGGAATCACATTGTTAATAATCATTTATGCTTCCTATGCTCTTCATGGAACAAACTGACTTTGCAGAATCCCTCTGATAGCAATAGTAAAGGGCATGGCTCCATAGAAAACAAACAGGTTGTGGGGATAAGAAGCATTTCTTTTTGAAAAGTAAATTAGTTTATGTGCTCTATAGAATGCATTGATGGTCTTTCCATAATGTTTTTAACTTCATGAAGCCTGTTATTGATTGGTTGGGTAGAAGGTTTTGAAAGGATTGATACAAACAAAAGTTGGTTTGAACTGGAGGTCTCCAAGCTTTCCTGAATATTAATAAAATGTCAATGAAGCATTGATAAAGTGCACAGAGGGTCAAAAACGGGACGTGATGACGTCCGGGTGCATGGGTGGAGACTCCCTCAGCCGCTACTACCGGTTTGCCTGAACCGGTTAGAACCAGCCGAATACCACCACTGACTAGGACTGTGTCAATTCAGGTACAAGAATTGACACAGCTTCCACCTTAAGTCATGGAAGCTTATTGGGAGATTTGGTCAATTGGTAGAAAGGAATATAAAGTATGTTCCTCAAGCTCCTGGAGGGGAAAAAAAAACCAAGATATAAGTCATCATGAGTATCACGGTCTATATGCTGGTCTTCTGCCCTGAGAGAACAGACTCTGCGATATCCCTTCCGTAATTAAATCTGCTACTGTTTTCTTTTTCAGTGCTAGTGAAAGGGCAAGTCACCACTAAATATTACCGTTTCCTGGCCAAACAAGGTGGCTGGGTCTGGGTGCAGAGCTACGCCACCATCGTTCACAACAGCCGGTCTTCCCGGCCCCATTGCATCGTCAGCGTCAACTATGTGCTCACGTAAGTCCATGTTCTGGAAGCTCCGTGGTACTTCTCAAAAGAGGGGCACCTGAGTGCTGGCAGAAGCCTGGAGATACCAGGCGTCCAGGTTTGGAATGCATTAAGTGCATGTGGGGGCAGTTGCTTCAGAGCTGGATTGCATTAAAAAAAAAATGAACTACTTTTCCTTTGCCTGTCATGAGAACATTTTAAGTAGGGCTGTAAAAAAAAAAGACCAATATTTCAATCTTCCCCTCCCACCCAAATCCACTTTGGCTGAAGTTTTTAGTTCATGGGTACTGCCCTTCCTACAAGTTTGGCTAGGATATCTGGAGTTCTTTCATCTGCCTGAAAGCTTTCCTTTCCTGTCTTCTTCTGTTCTCCTAGAGGGAAATGAGCAAGATTTAGGGCTTTGTCACCCTTCATGTTTGCTCACTTTCTGCCTTCTTATAGCTGAAGGGGCACCCTGCATTAAATAAAATCTAATGCAGCGTAAAAGAAAGGTTTCAACGTACGGAGTTATTTATACTTAACAAACAGGACATCTGTTTTTCTTTTTCTCTGAAACAGGGGGTCAGAACCTGGGAGTTTGAAGTTCTTAATTTTATCCAGAGTATCTATCAAAGCTTTGTGATTTCTTTCTTGTTCAAAGGGATGGAGCATTAGATGGAGAGAGGAAAGGGGTAGGGAAAGAGTTGGGGTGACTAGAAGGGGTTCAGTTAGCGAGACAATAGCCTATAAGAGAAAAACATAAGCAGGGCAAGGAAAGAGCATTGGAAATGTTGAAAATGCCCCATGTCCTATCATTAATTAATACTTAGGCAGTGCTAGGAGTGAATGTCTGCACAATTGTACTTGCAGAAAGAATGTGAAATTATATGCAAAGCTCTGTCTTTCACTCTCCCTCTCAAAAGTCTCTCTGATATAGCTATTGCTGCTCTTTTATTCCATGGATCCTGGTTGCTAAACAAAAATGATTGCATCAGAGTACCATTTTCCTTTCTAATTTCTATTTGCAAGCATGATGGTTAGTGTATGAAGACAGATAGCCAGACGATAGAGTAGGAACATTCAGCAACATATGAACTGTGGTAGTTATGATACCATGAGGTATCCATTGGCCCCTCAATTTAAAGATCCACCTTATATATTAAAAAAACAAAAAGAGCCTGGACCTTAAAAGATAGCTAAATCTCATAGATTTCCATGTTCTTGCGTAAGATTTCAAGAAGAAATGGATAATTTCATTTTTTTTAAAAAAAGAATAAATGGTATTTCCTTTTAAAATGTTCTTTTTAATGGTTTGATGCCTGGACACTGTGAAAAATTGTACAGTTTTTCAGGGTCTGAAAAAGATGCTGGCTGGGCTATAACATGTCACTAAAACTCAGCTGACCTTGGTTTATGGAAAACTTAAAGATGGAAAACTTTAAGTTGTTAGGCAACTACCCTAGAACTTTATGCTAACCTGGAAATATAAAGATTTATTCTAGAAGGCAGTGTAGCTATTGCTGCTAAGAAAGTTACATGGTTATCTTCATAAAGTCATCAAGAATCAATCCCAACTCAAGGAAATCTTTGCCTTTGTAGGTGCTGACGGAAGTATATTTTTCCATCTCTAGATTGATTAAGTAGATCAACCTTATCACATAAATATTGTGTGCTGGATCTTCTGTCACCTTAGGGCTAAGATAGATTGTTATAGAAAGTCATATAGGAAGTCATTGTGTTTAGTTTATTTACATACGGGGATATTCTGCCAGTGCATCTTACAGCAACCCATATACTGTAGGTTGCTGTAGGTTTAAAAACAGAGAAACCATCAAAGAGTAACTAAGAACCCAGCATACTTATCCTTTGTATGATCTTCCCTCTCATTCTCAAATGCTTTCTGGAAGTCCCACATTTCTAATGGCTAATCAAAAGCTGTATAAGAAGGGGCAGTCTGAATATCTGGGAGAAAACTATTCCAGGGCTGGGAGGTTTTACTGAGAAAGCATGACAGGATCTTGGTGCCTGTCTGTGCAAAAGTGTCAGCATCTAGTGGGAGAGGAAATGTTGCACCTGAAACTGGGTGTAATTAGAGAGTAAATTTGGAAGGATGTGGAGTGGGGGCATACAACTTTAATAAATAAAATAGATAAAAGTGTGTAGATTTCCTTCACTCTCCCACCTTTTCTCACTTAATGCAGAGATAATGTTTGATATAATCCTTCCCTTACCTCCCCTTCTTGGGTTAATTTAATAATTGGCTGAATAATCTCAAAGATGTTTTTTTACAAATGGCAACTGGATTTTCTTGTTTTTTCCTTGAAAATGGTTCGCTTCTCATCCAAGAAACTTCTTGAGTTCTGACTTCAGAAATCAGAGCTGAAAAAACTTCCTGTATGAAAAGCGAAAGGTTTTCAAGGAAAAAACAAGGAAGTCCAGTTGCCTTTTGAAGAAAACAAAACACTTCTGGGACAACCATGTTCTGGATGATTGAGAATCCCCATAGACAACAGGCTTAATAGTGTTATTAGACACAGCCATAATGTTCGCTAATCTTCCAATTGTCTGTCTTGATTCATTTTTCTTATGAAGTAGAGTAAAGAACAGACATTATCACAAAACACTGCTGCTCCTTTGCTTGTTTGTACCCTGTGATATCATTAGCTTCTGTAACTTTCCTACTTGGGTGCTTTTAAGTGAAAATAGAACGTCAGTAGTCTCAAGTACAGGCAGCTATCACAGAATATTAATTTCTTAGAGGAGAGGTGTACAATGTAAGATGTAGAAAGTCCAACTTTTTAAAAAAATATTAACAGCAGCTGAAAGATCCAGAGAGCAAAGAATATAGAATTTGGAGACTATTTATTTATTTATATTTACACACCTTCTGGGTATTGTGCAGTTAAAAATGATTTAAAAAAAGTTTTAAAATGTTAAGTGAAAAAGGATAACATTGAACATAACAGAGTATACACCAATGGGCATGACAACAGTCTATCCCAGAGCCAGATTTTTAAAGATGGTTTAAAAATGTGTAAAATCAGGTTAATTTGAATCCTGAAGGCGAAATTTAGGGACATACATAACCGATGACCCAGAGTTTGTCCAGTTCAGGTTGAACTTGCATTTATTCTGCCTCTCTTTTATTACTTTAATAGGCATTTTTGGACACTGTATAACTAATTGTGAGTCCAATAACATTGCCCCTTCCTCAGTCAGATCTTCCAACCTAGCCCTGAGATTTGGATTTTTCAATATTTTAAAAGAGCTCCTCCTACCATTCTCACTCCCCAAATCCTTTCAATTGCTAAGCCAGGTAAACAATTCAATTGAGGTGCTCTGTTGATGTCATTCTCTGACATGGACTGCATGCTGGCTTAGCCCGGGCTTTCTTTACTGCGAGAGACATTCTGGAAATTATTGATATAACACAAAAAGTACATCATAATATATCTCCTATTAAGAAACACATTCCAGTTTCCCAGAACTGTAGAACATATTTCCAATAAATGTATATAGAATTACAGTCATAGAAATCATTGGTACAATATTATGTTCTGAGTGGATTGGGTTTCCCACTTTATTATAAAGTATATACATTTCCATCTTACTTACTAGTCTTTGAGGAATAATTCTGTCTAACGTGTGATTAAAGCAAATATGTTTTAATATACAATGAATATAAAAATATATTTATTCTCATGGATACCTGCATCCATTAATAGACTGAGTGAATAATTTGCAGGTTGCAAAGACACCGAATAATGCTGGTTAATTAATATTGCCCAGATAATTAATTTAATTTTGTTTTTCTGCATTTTGACGAGAGCTGTTTTTATTTTGAATATTGTATTTTGTAGTATTAGGGACCTGTCCTGTTCCATTTATAGGCTGTTATCCATAAATAGGTCCAGGAGGCAGTTATTAACCTTTAGTTCAGGAAAACATATATGATGAAGTTCCAACATTTGTCCCAGCATTTAATCACTTGTTAAATCTGAGTAGGGAAACAACCCATTTGTTTCCCTACTCAAAAATATTTCTGATGATTTCTTTTCCCGATAGCAATTCCTCCATTTCATCTGTACAGCCTCATCCCTTCATCTGTATAAGCCCTTTTCCAGTTCTGTATAAAGATGAAAAAAATGCTAAAAACTGGTTATTAACCAAATAAATAAAAATGTGTATACACACAAACACACATATTATGCTAGTAGGTTTGGAATTAATACATATAAACATATGGAAATAAATTCTTAATGGATTAAAGTCCCATAATATTGTAGATTAAAGTACCAAATTGCTGGTAGAGAAACAGTTTATATGATCCACAGTACTTTTATTTTATAGAGAAGAGATCAAAGCAATTGAGACCATCAAGTCTGTGTTATTGTTGAGGACCAACTTTGAACTGCCTTCACATGCATCAAAATATGGGCTATTAAATTAATATATATTTATTTATATACAGACACAAGGCTAACATTCTCAGTGTGTTGTGTCTGTCTTATATACTGAAGGCATATCTTCTTGAAACCAGCTTTTTTAAAAAGATCAATATTAAGCAATGTTTACAACAGCCTTTCTAAATGAGTGCTTGGGGCCACAGATTCTACACGTGCAGAATCATTTTCAGAGTTTGCATAGCCTTACTAGCAGTGGTAAAATCCAAATTTTTTTACTACCGGTTCTGTGGGCATGGCTTGGTGGGCTTGGTGTGGCTTGGTGGGCATGACAGGGGAAGGATACTGCAAAATCTCCATTCCCATCCCACTCCAGAGGAAGGATACTGCAAAATCCCCATTCTCTCCCCACTCCAGTGGAAGGATACTGCAAAATCTCCATTCCCACCCCACTCTGGAGCCAGCCAGAGGTGGTATTTGCTGGTTCTCCGAACTGCTTAAAATTTCCGCTACTGGTTCTCCGAACTGTTCAAAAATTCTGCTACCGGTTCTCCAGAACCTGTCAGAACCTGCTGGATTTCACCCCTGCTTCCTAGGAACATTGGTCTGGAGGATTTTGGCTGTGTG